GGAGGTTTTTGGGGGGGGGGGTTCATGGGACCTTCTGATTAGTAGAAGCGTTTGATGTTGGACTGCAGGGAAACGGGAGAAATATGACTTGTCACTGATGAAAGGGGCAACTTTGCCGCATAGAGAGCATGGTGGGGTCTGAGACCCCCTGCCTCCCCACTGTGCTAGTGCCCAATAGGGCTAGGTCTTCTTGTTTAGCTCATCCCTCAACAACAAAAGCAGTTGGAACGGCAGCTCTCTCCCCTCCTCAGTAAAACCTCCTGTCCCATCTCTTGAGAGACGGCAGCATCAGCATGGTCTCCAGTTTACAGAGCCGCTTTATCTCGCTTTGTATCAGAAGGACTGTGCCATTCTGGCCGCCATTCGCACTCCAGGATCTGATGGCAGGAGCAGCTTAACCACATGCCAGTCAAAGGAGGGTCAAGGGCGCCCATTCATAGCTGCAGAGGGGCAGGGAGCCGTCCGGAACGCAGCCTTTCAGCTGGGTTTGTGAGCACTCACCAACCGTGCCCCCTAATCCAGAGGCGTTGGCAATGACCCAACAGCCATGGCCCATAATCCAGAGGCATTGGCAATGATCCAACCGCCGTGCCCCCTAATCCAGAGACATTGGCAATGATCCAACAGCTGTGGCCCCTAATCCAGAGGCATTGGCAATGATCCAACAGCCGTGCCCCCTAATCCAGAGGCGTTGGCAATGACCCAACAGCCGTGCCCCCTAATCCACAGGTGTTGGCAATGACCCAACAGCATTATTCTAGTTTGCTAACAACCTTTAGCCATTTAAACAGCTGCTGTTTATAAGTTTCTAACTGCTTGTTCACGTGCTGTTCTGCACGTGAGATGTCTTAATCATGGAAGAGCATATCTGGTGCATGAATTATCATATGTAGATGTTTATGGACACCCCCCCCCCCATTGCTCTGTCTGGCCTGCGATGCTTAGTGCATCTCTGCTTTTTCATTCTGTCAAACACCTTTGCTCGTGTCTTTCTCTTCCCCTTGCTGACCTTTACCACCCCCTCCTGTCTCCTGAGTGAGAGCCGCCATCCTGCCTTTGATGAAAGGGCGCAACATCCCTTTTGATTGTGACTTGTGCTTTTCGGTCCGCGGTTGGGGAGCAGGATGCCCCCCGAAACCACAGTGGGAGAGGGCATGGGGGCAGGGATCTAAGCCTGGCCTGGCCGCGCCGAGAACGCAGTGCGGGGGGGGGGAGTAAAGGCACGTTTCTCTCTGGCACGTGGTCTTAAAGGCCATCGTCGGCTGCTGAACTCACTCCGCTTTGGATCAGAAGGAACTACATGGTAAACAGACCCACTGTGAGTTCAGCGCTCGATGATGTCAAAGCTTGTGCAAAACCATTTTCACAAGTGTGTGCACTTCTGCTTATCTGTAATTTCGGTGTGCACCCAGGAAACCCCAGACTGCTCTGGCTCGTGCGCCTCACCCCACACCCGCTTCTTCTGGATCCCTCTCATAGACCCAACCCTTTTTTTGCAGTGTGTGCTCTTCCTCTGGACCCTGAAGATCAACCATCCGACCACACTCTTCCTCCTCAGAGGCAACCACGAGTGCCGGCATCTCACAGAGTACTTCACCTTCAAACAGGAGTGTAAGTACCGCCTTGCGCTGCATGTGTGTGATTTCCCCGTGATGGGCAGCTTCTGGCCTAATGACCCACTCCCATGTGAGACCGCAGGGCCCAGTCATCAGGTCTGTGGCCCTGGACAGTGATCAGAAAGCTGGGACTCGTGAAATTCACACCTGCTAGTGGAAAAAGCTCCCTGCCTCAGACCTGCTGTGGCAGAGGAGAGAAGACCGACTGAGTTTCACATTTGTACATTCTTAGTCTGAATTTCTGCATGTATCTGAACATGCTGTTGATGGGGTCCTTGTGCCCTGTGTCCTGTGCATCTGGCTTCGGTCTAACCATCATCTGAGACAGTGGCACAGTAAGAGGTCAGGGGTTAAAAAAATTTAGAGCATCATTGGATTGGCCTGGGTTGGGAACCAAATATATTATGCTTCCATGGGGCTGAAAGTGTCTAGCGGTGCCCCTGAAGGAAATTAGTAAAGTCATGCGCAGCATGACGATGTTTCGGTCAACAACGGACTGCATGAGCAACGGTGGTCCCATAAGATGATGATGGAGCTGGAAAAAGCGTCGCCTAGTGACATCGTAGTGCAACGTGTTACTCGTGTGTTTGTGGTGAGGCTGGTGTAAACAGACCTACTGCGCTGCCAGTCGTGTAAAATATAGCACATACAATTATGTATAAAACATAATACTTGATAATGATAAAAACAACTAGTGGTTAGTGGTTTATGTGTTTACTATATGAACGTTTTATCACTATTTTAGAATGTACTCTTTCTACTTGTATAAGAAATTTTGCTGTGAAACAGTGCGCTATACCAACCAGGTTTGTGTAAGTGAACACTGATGTTCACACAATGCTGAACGTTGTATTTCTCAGGATATTTCCCCGTCATTAAGCGACGCATGACTCTATTGCTTTTTTTATTTTTAACTTTTAACACCTTTTTTTGCACTGTTCTCAGGACATAAACCTAATTTGACTCATGGGTGTGTGTGTGTGTGTGTCTGTGTGTGTGTGTAATCATCTTAATGCAATGGTTTGTGTCTCCACTTCGCACTAATTTAATGCCCCTCCAACTCACTCCGTGCCTCCTGTCCCAACACGAACTCATTCAGATTGACCGTGACGATGTGCCATAAAATGTGGAATTAACTTCAGTTGCGTAACGGAGGAGAGCATCTGGCATTGAGCAGTCTGGGGCACCAGCACAACACCGTCCTTATCTGGCCAATCAGCATGCGGCTGCCTGTGTGACAGTGAAGGCCCGCCTTAAGGCAGTGATAGTCACAGGCACCGTCAGCCCTAAGTTTCTGTGTTTTGCTTTTGTGTGTGTGTGTGTGTGTGTGTGTGTGTGTGTGGGTGTGTGGGTGTGGGTGTGTGAGAGAAGTTAACCTTGACCTTGTGCATGGGGTGTGAGCTGCTTGCTGCTAGATGGAAATGAACTTAAGAGAACTGTGACCATCATCACCAGAAAAGTTGCCCGTTTGATACTGGTTATATCAGTCCTTTGGGGGAAACCATGTAAATTACATGGAACTGGAGATGGTGGGAAGACACAGATCAGTGAAGTGCTGTGTTGATCCAGGCTGTGGGACCCTCTGCCCCTTGCAGGTAAGATCAAGTACTCTGAGCGCGTCTATGACGCCTGCATGGAGGCCTTCGACTGCCTGCCACTGGCCGCCCTACTGAACCAGCAGTTTCTCTGCGTGCATGGCGGCCTCTCCCCCGAGATCAACTGTCTGGATGATATCAGGAAGGTAAGTAGCACCGTGCTGTGTGGGGGGGCAGGCTAACCGGGAACGCCCCAAATACCCTGATACAAACTGGGGGCCAATGTTGCCAGGATCTATAACAAGGTCAGGCTCCCCCCCCCCAGTGTGGATTATTACAGACTGAGCTGGGTTTATGGAAAGGGAGAGTGTGAAAGTGATGGGGCTCCCACTGAGTCTGGCTGCTCTTTGTCCACAGTTAGACCGCTTCAAGGAGCCCCCGGCCTTTGGGCCCATGTGCGACCTGCTGTGGTCCGACCCGGGCGAGGACTACGGCAGTGAGAAGTCATCGGAGCACTTCATCCACAACAGTGTGCGGGGGTGCTCCTACTTTTACAGGTACGCTGCTGCCCCGGGGCAGGTAGCTGCTGATGGTAATAATGAGAATGAGGTTAGTGGAGCCTTTATCCAAAGCCGCTTCCAGATCCCACAATATTATCCGTTTCTGGAGCAGACTGTTTTTCCAGGTTAATTATCTGTTTTATAAATGTATGATTAGGGTCATACGTTTTCATGTCAGACGATTCCAGCCCCCTCTTACCCGCTGTTGTGTTACAGTCCCTTCCTCTTGCCCGGCTTTCAGATGGCTGTGCTTCTCAGCAGTTGTGTCGTGATGAGATAAAACCCCTGGTAGCCTCTGCTGTCCTGTTAACTGGCTTGCGGGGGCTGCTCTGGCCCCTCCCACATGTAACCAAACACAGGTGTCTAGACATCAACTGCAAAAAGTGGCTAAGCGAACAGTCTCTGCCGCTCGAGTGGCCGTATACCTTTGTCAGACTACAGCTTACTGCCTTTACAGCTCAGCCCTCCCCTCCCCCACTTTTGGAAGTAGGGGGCCTTGAGGACAGAAATAGTTACCAATAATTGCTCAGAGCAGGTCAGGCTGAGGCGAGACCTCATGTGGGATCAGAAACCCCGCCTGCTCTGGTCAGAACTGCAGTGCTGAAGTAGAACTGGTCTCCTCCTTTTCGTCTAAGTGTTCCTTCCTCTCTTTCTCCCCCCACCCCTGCAGTTACCCAGCAGTGTGTGACTTCCTGTTAAACAATAATTTGTTGTCAGTCATAAGAGCGCATGAAGCACAGGATGCTGGGTAAGTAAGATATGCGTCACAGACTCTGGTTAAGGCAGCAGCTGCATGTCTTTGTGCCCGAAAATGTGGGTAATTTGTTTTAAAGTCTGACCAGTAGATAGTTCAGCTGGCAGTTCACACCACCAGCATGGAAATCCAGTGGCATATGTGTAGATTAATGTCTTTAAATGTCAGTCTGCTTTAATTTCATTGGAATGGGTAATTTAGTTTGATTAGGAAGGGAAATGTTAAAGCGTCCTACATTACCTGTCATGTGGATTTATATCCCTTCTTCCTTAGCTACCGGATGTACAGGAAAAGCCAGACGACAGGATTTCCATCATTAATTACCATCTTCTCTGCACCAAACTACTTAGATGTATACAACAACAAAGGTATGTATGACGGCTGTTTTTATCCGGAGGAGTTCTGGAGTGTGTGTGTGTGTGTGTGTGTGTGTGGGAGGCTGTCAGTGAGCGTCTCATTGCTCTCTACGTCAGACAGCATCTCTGAGTGCTCATACACGTGGGTGCCATTGTCCACCAGTCTGAGTGATGATGTCTCCAGGCAATATAAATCTCAGCTGCTGTGAATCGACTGTCCTACAAAATAACATCCAGCTTTCCTTGATGAGGCAGGGGGCCCCTTCATCTCGCCTAAGCACCTTTAAACGTTCTGTGCTAATTCCATTATGTCATTTCGCCCACTTTATACAGCTGGATACGTAAGCCAGGTAGGTTTAGAACTTATGCTTTAGACTTCACACCTGTAACACTCCCGGAAGGAGCTTCCATTCCAGAATCCAGGAGGAGAACTGAACAGACAACATGTTGTGAAGGAGGGTTCATTTCCTTGTTTTGTGTGACAGCGTATTGTCAAGTACCTGTTCTGCTGATTTTTGGTGAAAGTGGTTGTACCCTTTGTATCAGGAAGCCATCAGCTTCTGTTTTCCTATCTGTGCTGTATTTTCCCTGAAGATAACCACCATGTGGTCCCTGTTATTCTTTATTCTGCCCTCACCCCATAGCCGCCGTGCTTAAGTATGAGAACAACGTCATGAACATCCGACAGTTCAACTGCTCCCCCCATCCCTACTGGCTGCCCAACTTCATGGACGTCTTCACGTGGTCCCTGCCCTTCGTGGGGGAGAAAGGTGAGCTCAGCTTCTGGGCGTTTCTCTGCTGTTTGCTAGTGCCGACCCAGTGTGGTGACATGATCGTCCGGGAAGGTTTTTTCACGTTACCGCTGACCCAGTGTCCCCATAATGCCTGACGTGACGTCTGTCCCTCCCCAGTGACAGAGATGCTCGTGAATGTGCTGAACATTTGTTCCGACGACGAGCTGATGTCAGAGGGAGATGACACCTGCGAAGGTATGTCACCTGTAACGTCACCTTGTGACGGGTCCCTGTCAGTCTGATTTAGCTGAATCTGCAGTGACTTTCAATGCACATTTCCAGTTAACAGCTGCTCTTCTGTGGTTTTGAAACTGAGACCAATCTCCCCTAAATCGTGTCACTTTGAGCAAACATTTCCTGGGTTTGGCTGATGATTAGAACAGAGCAGCACTGCAAAAAAATGTAACTCAGCCAGAAAAATACAGGCTTTCAATTTCCTGCTCATTTTTATGCAAGCAAGCAAAATATTTGCTATTAACCTGATTCTGTCACTGAAACTGTTTGTTTGCTGTCAGTTGTCATTTCTCAGAAGATAGTAATTTGAGGAAGTGTACCAATGAGAGTATAAAGCGGAAAGCTGTTTTGAGTATCAGATTATTTCTGAACTGGCTAACATCTGCTGGAGCTTATGCTCTAATGGTTTTTAAGGTTTGTTGTTTTCCGGTTATCCCACTAAAAATACACAAGAAGGTCAGCATGTGCTGCTTTTAATGGTTTCAGAGTGATTTTCTTTTCTTTTTGCAGTAGACTGGGGGGTCGTTAATAAGGCTGCGTATGTAGCCACCCTGTAGAATGTATTAGGCTATATTTTGGGATCTTTGAGCCGTCGCCCCAATGGACAAAATCTAGACGTTCATGTTGAAGGAGAGAGGAGATTGTCCCGTCCTATTATTTGATTCCCCCATGGGATTCAGCAGACTTCCAAAGTTTTAACGTTCAGACGCATTTAGAATCTTAGCCAGAGCTGTGCTGTCAATGGGCCGCTCCTTAAGACCGCTCACTGTCACTAGCAGTGATCACACGTCCGACATCTGACGAGTTTCTCCCTGCGTAAAGGTGGCACACCGGCCGTGCGGAAGGAGGTCATCCGGAACAAGATCCGCGCCATTGGCAAGATGGCAAGAGTTTTCTCCGTCCTCAGGTGAAAGCAGCTCTTTTCTGCCTATTTCTGAACCTGAAACACTTGTGTAAGCCTGGCTAGGCTTGTGTGGTTCATTCAGTCTGAGCCAGCTGGGCGTTTATAAAGATAAGTGCTCCACACTGCATTTGGTTCCTGAGAAATCCTGCCCTGTGCCATCGGTCTCTCACTAGGTCATAATACATGGGCGAAGCAGCACGATTAGCTTCCACTCAGTAGGTTTTCATTATTAAAATCAAGCTGACATCAATGACTCTTGTAAGATGATGTAACGACATTGGCTGCTGTTATTGGTTGATAATTCTGCTCTGCATCAGCATGACTGTTTCACAGCAGAGGCACCTTGGTGTTTCCTTACTGGGTCTGTAGCCGTCTGCTGCCTTGTGTCACGGTCATTGCTGATGCCCCTGTGTCTCTGTTTCTCCCCCCAGAGAGGAGAATGAGAGCGTGCTAACCCTGAAGGGTCTCACCCCCACCGGGACGCTGCCCCTGGGGGTGCTTTCGGGAGGCCGACAGACCCTGCAGAGCGGTATGTTTGCACCCCCACTGCCATGTCTACTTTTGCCTTAGTGTGTGGGTTGAGAAGGGAGGTTTGACTTGACAATGTGCCCCCCCCCCCGCCATAAGCATTAGCCTTTCTGCTGTCACTCTCTGTGTTCAGTGTCTGCCTTGCGCCGGTTACATCGGCACGCCTTTAACGAGCAGGTTCATGTTGACGAGCATTAAATGGATCAGTATGCATTCACTGAATCAGGGCTCTCTTAGGTAGTTTCAGTACTTAATTGAGCCAAGTACAGGATGATCGTGCCAATGACAGTAAAAAACAACTATTTGTGCTGACTAAACAATTCTCAAAACGATAAGCAGAGTGTGCTTCCTCGCCTGATATAAAGATGGTGAAACAGCCGTAAGCAGATCAGCTTATTTCACTCTGCTCTCGGCAGAAAGCCCCGCATCGGACTTCCCTGAGGGCCTTTATGGGGCCTCAGTCATGCCCATGCAAATGGGCAGCAATGAGCAGAAGCAGCCCACTGTTGGCTCTGAGCGGCCGTTCTGCGCAAATCCTCAGCAGAGGAATAAAACCGGAAGAGCCAAGAGGGCTGTAGTCGAGTTGGTACATGTTAGCCTCTGGGTAGAATCAGTGAGTCCCAAGCACCAATCAGAGCTGCCTGAACGCTGCTGTTCAGTATAAAGCTAAAGCACAGGGCCCGGTCCTGCTTCTAAGCATGCTCAGTCAGCCATCCCCCATTAAAAACACTAAAAGTCCTTGACCTTTAAAGAGATGTGACTGAAGGTTTGAGTTTAATCATAACTGAATGTTTTTGCAGATGATCGCACCCTCGGTGACTATTAGAGTTGCAGTTTTGATGAATCACGGGGGGGCCTCGAGAGAAGTTGGTCGAACGTGCAGTTTGGCAGCGATTCAGCCGTGGCGTGTAATGAAACACGCTCCAGCGCCCCCGTCTGCACTGATAAACACTTATTGCTTTATGAAGGCCCCCTTGTCTCGGGGGTTGTGGGTGCCATTGAGGCTCTGCTGTGAGGCTGTAGTCAGGCGTGAGCAGATCAAACGCGCCGCTTCTCTAGAAACTTGAGCCAACAGGCTGAGCTCTTTTCCTCCCAGAATGCTTTGCGCGCTGTAGTACTCTGCTTCTTTAAACATGGGTGTGGTGGGGAAGCAAAGGAGGGTGGGTGATGTAGTTCTGGGTGTGGTTGGGAAGCAGAGGAGGGTGGGTGATGTAGTTCTGGGTGTGGTTGGGAAGCAGAGGAGGGTGGGTGATGTAGTTCTGTCTCACAGCCAGCAGTGACATGCTTCAAGGTCTCCTGCCTGCTCTTCCTGTCTCTGGCTTCACCTTTAACCTGACTGCCTAACCCCGGGGAGGTGGGTGGGGGCGGGGTTAGGCGACTGGCTGACTGCTGTGGGTATGTCTGATGGTGTTGATAACCCAACTTACTGTCTCTTCCCCCTTCCCTCCCATTGGTTTTTGTTTTGTTTTGGCATGGCACTACTACTCATGCTTACACAGCCACCGTAGAGGCAGAAGAGGCACGAGGTATGACAGCGGTCTGTGTGTGTATGTGTGTCTCTTTGAGACTCATTGTGACTCTCACCCCCCTGCCCCCCACCACCTTGGAGTTTATTGTATTGTTTGTGGGTTTATTACATCGTGCTGTTTGGTGCTGTTTTGAAAACTGGGGACTCTTGCACGACCAGCGAGTGCTTCTATATAAAGGTTTTGGCCGGCGTAAGTTCATGGGATCCGCAGAGAAAGAGGTCGCCATGGGCCACTCATGGTCTTAGGATGTTTTAGCCTTGTTGATTGTTATTTTTAGGGTAAAGAATCATGAACTGACTTGAGCTTACCACTAGAGTGTAGTGGGAATGATTGGTGAGTTACTGTAAGACATCCCTGGATGACGGTCTCTGGTTTTGGAAGCTTTTCTTTGACCTAGATAGTTGCTCTGATGTTTGAAATTTGCGTCTTCAAAGACTGAATTAACTTTTTATTCTGTTGTATGTCACCTGCCCAGTAGCTGCGTGCTGGGGTTCAGTCCCTCTCCTCCTCACCCCGTCTCTCCTCCCCCCATCTCCCACCTTGTCCCTCCCTCATCTTTTCCCTCCCTCCTCCTCATCTGTCTCTCCCTCTCGCCGCTGGTATGAGTTATTTTTAGGGTAATCATGTTACGCTACTTGGCCGGCACAGCGCTCCGTTTGTTTTCCATGAAAAGTAACACTTTTGGCTCGGCCCACGGCCTGTCGGTCAGCTTCAGCGAAGATGGCGTGTTCCGTCGCTCGCGCATGTCCGCCAGATCTGTGGTGCTGCGTGAGGCACCGGCCAAGTTCCGCGTTTCTCCTGGTTGTGCAAGAGTGAACCGTTTTCTTCAGAAGCGCCCTGCTCGTTGGGGCGATTCTGAATGACACACATCAGTGTCTTTCGTACTTGTGGCTTTTCTGTCGTCCTGTGATGGTCCTATAAATATCATTGTTTTGTTTTTTTTTAAGTACTTGTTTGCCCCCTTCGGCCATAAGGTTTCTCACAGAATTGTTTGGCTCTTTCCCTGTTCCGTGGCTCCTGGAACAGTGCGTGGGCTGGTCCTCCCACCCAACAGCGAACAAAACACAAAACGACTACTAGCAAATGTTTTCAGCCTGTTAATCACGAGGCCATTCTGGTTCCAAGTCATCATTTGTAGTCCTACTTCCTGAAGGCACGAGGGGCAGCAAGTACGATGAAGGAAAAACAAAGGCGTGGTTGTCGGGGTGTGTGTGTGTCTGTGCGCGTGTGTGTGTGTCTGTGTGTGTGTGTGCGTGTGTGTGTGTGTGTTCATGTAGTCAGTGGTGACTTGGTTGTCACCACTGCACTGTGCTCTTTGTTCCCGTTGGTCCATCCTGCTGTTCCGTCTCGTTGCGTTGATGCTCTTACTGTGCAAACTGCTATTAATGAAATGCGCCCCCCCCCCCCACCACGCTACCACGGCCCCACCACGAAGTAAGTGAGATGCTTTCATTTTATTTATTTATTTAATTTTTACTGAAAGACACCCCCATCATTTGTACAAGAATGATGCAACACAGAATGCCCAGTCATTCCTGTGGGGTGGGGGCTTCTGTATGGTTCAGTCAGTTTTCTGAGGGATAGAATAATAAAATTGTCACCCCTTTTTCAATCCGTTTGAGCCTCTGTGGGCGTGAAGGCATCCAAGGTCAACACAGACGTGGCATGTGCATCATCCACCGGGGTTTGCTTCACGCTGGGGAGGGTGTCGAAGGCCACTTGCAACTGCAGTGTCTCTCGTTTGATTAATGAGACTGTCAGTCACTTCGGGGACAGGATCTGTGTTACTGGGAACAGGGGTTATTGATGGACTTTGTATTCTTTGGTTTGCAGTGTTTTCCTCCTCTTTTAGTGATGTTCATGTCATCGGCAGGGTATCTAAGGTGCTGGCGATGAGACCGGCCGTAACCCATCCAGGTCGCATTAGGTGGCAGGGTCGAGGTCCCGCCAATCCACTTCCCGTTGGTCTCATCCGCGCTCTGTCTCTCTCTCCTTCAGCCATTCAAGGCTTCAACCCTCAACACAAGATTCAGAGCTTTGAAGAGGCCCGCGGTCTGGATCGGATAAACGAGAGGATGCCACCGCGGAAAGACAGCGTGCAGGCCGATGGCACCTCCGCCAACTCTCTCAGCTCCGCCAACTCGCCAGACAAGAATGGCACCAACTCCCAGGCATAAGGCAGCCGCCTCTCAGCCCCTCCCTGCTTCCCGCCCGCTGCACTCTTTTGTTCCCTGCCCCCCTTTTGCCCAGCCCAC